AAAATTTTATTGCTTCTTTTTACCTGTCATTAACGACTACATAGGGGGTTCGTCAAATTTTTTCGGACCTTTTTTTTGGTTCGCGAGGAAAAAAAGGTTGGGAAACACTGGTTTAGTCTGATTTGCGAATGGATTTTGTACTCATTGTCAGTGGCTGTCCTGTAACTCCTCTGGAAGATATTCTTTCAAGGATTTTTTGAGGTTCAATATCTGAAATTTTCTTCTAGAAATCTATTTAGACGAGGAAAACATATGTTCAACATATTCAATCCAAAAGTCAAATTCCCTGATATTTTATCATTCAGGATAGAAGAGCATGGAATGAAACGAAATGAAAATAAAACAAGAAAAAATATTGGCATGTAGGGGAGTGAAGGTAAGAATAAAGTTGGTGCAGAAATTGGTGATGAAAAGCTAGAACTATCCTCATATACTACCCTCATTTAATCCTTTAATTGCCAATATGCCAATAGGGGAAACCTTTCCCACCATAACCTAACCCAAACGCTAAATGTTTAGCGTTTGGATTAGGCACATAGCACTTCATAAATATTGTTTGTCGTGAAATCACGAGCAGTATTTTCTCAAAATGTTGGAGCGAATAAAACTCGATATAAAACAGTATATACAGACTTTATTTACAAATGAATTATTAATTATAAAATAACGGATTACAGCTACAGACGCAACGAAGAAAAATGTGAATTAAAACGCAAATTAACAAGAAGAAGTACAAAACTAACTAACTCATGTGACAAAATCAAAAATTGTTCTGGTGCTATCACCAATACCTGGTATGCAACAAAAAAATACGAACCAGAAGCCAATAAGGAGAGAAACCCCACACGGTATAACTGCCTCGAGCTATGAAATTCATACAATTGAAGCGCATCGATAATAAAATTAACAAAGGTGGTTGCCGTCGACGACCTTCGCAGAACCTGACCATTGGGACTAAATCGGCCTATTATTATTAGCAAAAGAACATGCAAGAGATATTTGACTACCTTGTATGCATTATAGAAATTTCCAATATATGTAATAAAATAAAATAGATTGAATAGTGATAAGCAAATCTAACTCTAACGACTGAAACTGAAACAAATGTCAATAAGAATATCTTTCACTATAACCAAACTTAAACCCATTAGCTGCACTCTATACTTATCAATCTAGGAAACATGTCCCACTATAAGAATATAGTTCTTAAACCCTGGCCCATAACACTTCACATATGGGAATTAGGATTCCACCATACCATAACCTAATTGAAGATGCTGAACACGCCAGAAGATGATTTTAAATTAAAAATTAGGACTGAGTGACAACATAAGGCATAGTTCTACCATTTAATTTGACGTCTTGATAGTTAAGTAATTCTACAATTTTGTCTTCTTGGTGCTGGAGATAGCTCCACAAAATGACGCTACAAACCTAAACCATTACATAACCATCTATTTTAAATGTAAATTTTCACCCCATTTTCACGAAATCCTAATACTACTAATGGTTTGTTTGACAAAGGGGTAGATTTATGGTCATAAATAAATACAGTAACCAGCCGAGGAAACCTAATCACTTTAATCGAAGAAGAATGAATTTTTACATTTTGGTACTACTTCAAATACCTACTTTACTCCGTTTAATAAGTTTTATGAAATATTAATTTAAAATCATTTTTTCGATTTTTTATTTACCC